AAAAAATGACTACAATTTACTCTATTCTCCAACATAACATCCATCTTAGGGTTTTAAGAGCATTTTTCAGTCATAATTTAGCGCCACTTAGACCAAAGACGAATCTGTAAGCTACACCTGTCTGATTATGAAAATGAATATTTCATTGATCATATATTTGAACTGCAGGTGAAATGTTCAATTCAAGGGATTAAAAGCAAACAGGAACCTTAAATGTTGCTGCTCTATTCTAATGCAAAGATCGAGGGAAATTATGCACTACTTACATAATTACTAAGATGGCATTTTAGTTCAACGCGGGTGGGAAATATTGATCGAACGCCATCAATGACGAATATTGTCAATATATAAGGCAGTAAAGGGGGAAGAGAAGATAACGCACATACGTAGAACGATGAGTATTTTATACTGAACTTATACAACTCGTCATACGTTTTTCTGTATGACATTAGCAGAGAATTACTAAATGCGCCGGTAAGGGTTGGTTACCTAATTCGGCTGTCACTGCATACCGACACGTACCGATTTGTTGCCTGGCACTGTGACAACTACTAAGAAATCTTTTTTTGCTTAAGTGGAGCGAATTAACCGATCAATTTTAGCGAAATCTCGTTTCGAATTTAGCCGGGACATCCACTGTGCGTTTTTGTTTGGCTTAGCTTTATGTTGTGGTCGCAAACTTGTAGATAAAATTATTTTTTCCAAGCAAACGCGTGGAATTAGATTTCATCACCAGTGCAGACACATCCTGATGTAAATATCACCTTTAAGCCAGGGTTGTGTGGGCTGTACTATCTAAAACTATTTTTTGTTCTAATTTCCATCATCTTTTATGAAAACAACCACTTAAGCCATTTTTTAATTTGATCATAAGATCGGCTAATTTGCGAACTGAAAGAAACATTTTTACTGGGTATTATGTCATGGGGCTGTCGTGCGATCTGGTTATCGGGCTAATGCCGTGTTTCTGACAAAATTACTTATAAGTCTGTATTATTATTATTATTATTATTATTATTATTATTGTTGTTGTTGTTATTATTATTATTATTCATTATTATTATTCAAGTACTTTATTTCAGAAGTCGATTATCTTCAGATTATTTTCACGGATATCTTATCAAGATCTTGCTTTTTTCAGTAAAACACCTGATTTGATTCACTCGTTTCTCGCGGGAGAAATCCACCCAGAGAAGACGGCTAAGATTCAGGATTCAGACTCCTTTTCTTGGATAGACCTAATAAAACTGAAATAACCAGGTTATTGAAAAGCTCCAGTTAGCATTTCTTATTCAGTACTAGTCAATTTCAGAAGTAAAACTCGCCAACTGCGAATATTCAAGATCGTTTTCCAAAGATTGAGAAATGAATTACATCGGTCGATTTGTACAAAAACACAACTGATACGAGAAACACAGTAAATGGTTTGAACCCAGGAGTATCAGTAGCTCGTATAGTGTGATCGTCCGGGTGAGTGTAGTTCTGAAAAGAACTGTTGTTGGTGACCGTCACCAACAACAGTTCTTTTCAGAACTACACTCACCCGGACGATCACACTATACGAGCTACTGATACGAGAAAATCAGGAGGACTCGCTGTGGAGCCGCACAATGATCATTGACCTGTGATCTGCTGGTGTTCCTTTTCTTCGCAGCGAAAAGAGAGCGAAATGGTTGTGCAGTGGATCAAACCTTCTATTTTTAATTCGGCACATGAAAATAAACAACGCTTGATCGCAGATAAAAGGGCCATTAAATAATCACATGAAAATCATCTTTTTTTACTTCTAAGTAAAGTTGAACCAATATGCAAAATGTTTATAGATTATGGGTCGTCTTCATTTTCTTTTCTTTTTGTCAACCGTTTATAAGTGCAATCTATGCAGTGTTGAGGTCGAGATTACGATACCAGCACGGACCACAAGAACAAACAGTAAACCTCGCAAGAATATGAGAGCAGAACCAGAGGGTAAACATACCGTGAAGACAGTTTACTTATCAATACGGAAATACAACATGTGCGACGCAGCCATAGACAAGTGTCCAGCGGCGCTTAAAGGCCAGTTGTAACATCATAAAAACAAAGGACTGAAAAAAGGCTGAACATGAAAAGAAGAAAGAAATAGTCCCCACTAATCTTCATCTAATTAGACTTGCTCGGGGTATGACAATTCCTTCATCTAATTTTAACCGAGCGAACACTAATTTATATATTCAACATCTGCTTTGCAGTACTTCAGAGCCCACGCCACTGAAAGTTTATATTGAGCAAAGCGCGTTACATGCCGACTTCTGATTGGCTAACTGACTGCATCCCTGTTCTGTGTGATTTATTTTATCCCTTCTAAAGCAAATATCGTAATTCCGTTTACTGGATTAAGCAATGGTTATAGTAGTCAGGGTCCTTATTTACTATTTTAGACCCATCGCGCGTTCAGTATTAAGATGAAACCAGGCGTTTGGTACTGGGCTGTCGGTGGGATTTTGTCAGTAACAACAGTTCTTGGAAATGGCCTGGTGATATATCTTATCATTTCAAGGAAGCGCCTTCATAAAACAGTCAATTGGTTCCTGTTTTCGCTCGCTGTGGCTGATCTTTGTGTCGGTTTAATCCAATTTCCATCAAAGGCCTGTATGTCTGCGTCACTGTGCAGCAAGTGTATAACAACAGCCACGCGATGGTTATTTCTTAATTCATCGATGACTAACTTATGTTCGCTAACAGTTGATCGTTACATCGCCGTGTTCAAACCATTGAAATATGCGGTATACAAGACGAAAAGACGACATTTGGTCTTAATTTCAGCAGCGTGGATTATCCCATTTGTTGTTCATTTTGTTCCATTCACATGGATGTGCTGTGCTGGGATGAAAAATGCTGTGAGAAACTTTTTGACAGTTTTACTGTTCTTATTCAAACTTCCTCCCATTCTGTTATTATTTATAGCTTGCTCCAAGACTCTATACATTGCGCGGAAGCAAAAAGAGCGAGCGAGTGTTCAACTTACTCAGTTGAGGTTTAACGGTTTTTGTCGCCAGAGTGTTAGCACTATCAAGTCTCAAACTCAACCAAGCACATTTGCCAAAGCTCTTGGAATCATAGTGGCCATCTTTTTGATTTGTTATGCAATTGACATCGCTCGACTTATCTGCTATACATTTCACTGCTCAAAGTACATTCCATGGCTTGTTGTAAATCTGCAAAGCTTGCTATTCGTGTTCAACTCGGCAAGTAATCCAATAGTGTACGCTTTTTTTAAGCAAGACATTCGCCGTGAACTCAAAAGTTTTATTAAATGTTTTGCTTCTTGAACGTTCGCGGCAACCACAGGGACCTTAACACGTGTTTGCACTTGGCTTTTAAATAGAAGGTCTGCGACTTAAAACACATTTTTTCCGCGCCATGGTCAAGAACAGCTTCGTAGTGAAAGTCTATATTTCAATTCCGCATGCTAAGAATTGTTAAATTATTCTGATCATACTGGTAATCAAATAATTTTTATCGGATGTTCATGTTTATGTGTAATTACTATGCCAATGATAAGATTTAATGGATTTTTTGATCAGAATATAAATACGTGACTGAAACAATCCGATCCTAGACCCAGTAAAACAGCATCATCTTTGTTCCCGCCCCCGCTCATGCAAGTGACGTCAGAATCGACCAGTATCCATACTGATGACGCAACAGAACAGCTTCTCCTTCATTGGGTATAATACTGATAATGAAAGCCGGTTTTCCCGGTTTTTAAGCACAAGTGTGACAATGATTTTACAAAAAGACTGATTTAAGTTAACAAAAGTTGATATCGACATCTATTGCGAGTTATTGAACTTTTCGTCAGTATTATGCCTTGTTTTACCATACTGCCTCTTTTGCCTGTCGAGAACGCCATTAGCACCATTCTAAAGATAAAGAACAAGAGAGAACATTAGCACTGTGAAAAGAAAATCCGTGATTATGATGGTGTTAAGATTACTTCCCACCATCGAGGGTGTCCTTCGAGAAAAAAAAGTCGTACGCGCGCAAGTTTCAATAAAACCCTAAAAAACTATGTATCAAAAGGAAGCTTAATGAATGTAGTTTACGATAAAATTGCAATTTAAATGAGGTTTTCGTTTAGGAAGTGTCAGGAACCGGTAAGGCGTGAAACGGGTACCGGATGCCGCAACACGAGTAAAATGGCTGCACAGTCTTATTCACAAGGCATCAATAAACAAAACCGTGTCAGGTTTTTTCGATATTCTGATTGGTTGTCTAGATAGTTGGAATAGCTAAAAATATGCGAGACGTGTTGCGTAAACGGACGCCACGGGAAAAATATGTTAAATATCAAAATTTCCCTACACACTTTCGCTTTTCATTATACCTGGAATTTTCTGGCAAAATTTCACGAAACTCCGTCTAATCTGCATACCCTATAAATTCTTTCAAAGTGGATGTCTTCCTTCCAAAATCAAATGCGAGATTTTAGTTCGTATTATAAAAAGATTCGTAAACAACTCGCGCCCCGCCAGGAGATTATCTCGCCTTGTGAAACCGCAAACCAGTGGAACAACAGGACCTCCTAGCATCGATGACAATGGATGAGGATTTCCCGGGAAAAGCATCGCATTGCAACACATTTTCTATCTCGCTGTCACATTGAAGTAGCCAAAGGCAAAACAGCAATCCTCGGCAAGACAAGTAAAGCCAGCAAATGTACCGATGAGCATGACAACGAATCAACGCGTAAAGACAGCTCAGGCAGAAAGCTTAAAGAGCCTTGGTCGCTTTCGGAAAGGTGTTTTTGTTTTCTTTCCAACACAGAAATGTGTCCTTTTTTCTTCTTTGGGCTTGTTTGATTCTTTTCCTCGGTCCAAGGGCGTTTTTCTATTTTGAATTTTCCAGTTGAGAGCAGGCGCAAAGGTCTTTTATTTGTCAAATTTGTCAAGTGCGCGATGTAAACAATACCAAATAACATGAAACGCGAGTTGCAAGATAAGCGTTTGCCGCGAAAATTTTATACTCCCCTAGCTTTCGTCCATTTACGAGATAATGACACCTTCCTAGTTTATTAACTTTATTTGAAAATACGTTTTTTCTAAATAACTCGGCCGCTTTTTGAGTTTTTAATATTTTTCTTTTGTAAACATTGGATGAAATGTCTGACTTAAATTTTGTCAAATAAAAAAAAAAAACGATTTTTTGTGCCCTTGACCTTACGTTTCATTAATAAAGACTGTGTGGCAAATATGCAAACATTCATTTATACCAATATGCTTTAGTAGTTACCTACGTTAATGGAACAATACAATCAGTATAATGCAATTTAGTAGTTACCTCCGCAATTTTCTAACCTTCAGTTCTTTCTCCGATTTAGCAACGCTAGATGTAGAGATAAACATTTGCATAAGCCTAAATAAAATACTGCAAGCATTCTTAGACCGTTATTGGCTGTCGCTAGTGAAAGTTGTTTCAACTTACATTATCATCCGATGTATTTTTTCATCCTTTTCATTGGCCGAGAGCCCACCACGTGACCTGCAAATAACTGGCTGTAAAAGTCTGCTCGTGTGTAGTGGACTAAATGTGTTTTGCTGCAAATAATATTCTGCTCATGCGTAATTGTAACTACGTTCTTACGTGAAAAATGGCAGATCGCTTTCTTGAGCTGTCAGAGAGTGATTTAAATATGATAAGACAATTGTTGAACTTAGTTATCGCAAAATATGGTAATTTGTCAGAGTCTCACAGATCATTTATTTTCCTCAACCTTCGGCTTCGGCAAATCAGATTGATCTGCGAGAAATAGGCAAATCATGGTATTTTGCTCAACCTCGTCCAATAATTGTTAATATTATTTGGAGAGATTGTAGTGACTAAAGAAAGTGTCAACTGGGCACAAGAGGAATTTTCTCTTGCTGGGCATTATTTCTTCGGGACTAAAATTAAATAAAGTGTTTAAGCAAGCAACCGAAACGATGATGTTGCTGGTATACGTTGGATCAATAGTGATCTAATTGGCTTTACATATAAAATGAAGGTACAATGAAAATTTTACATTGGGACGTGTTTTTATGTGGCAGATATTTTCGTAATACTGGAAATACGTAAAAGTATTATCGGCCACATAAAAACACGTCGCAATGTAAAATTTTCATTCTACCTGAAGAAGGCTGGTTTGGCTAGCCGAAATATAGTACACCTTCAAAAAATCATCCTACGTTGTGTCGGTTTTTGCTTTTGTATTCTAAAATTAAAGCGGAAAATGTGTTACAAACAACAGCAGGGAAATTTAGTATTCAAACTTATTTAAGTACACCACGAAAACGGCAAGCGTAACGTAAACAAAAATTTCCTCATCTGACATACTGTCAGTCTGGATTTGGGGGATGGGAGGGTGAAGACTCCCTATATGGTAGTACTGCGGACCGTCGTCGCACTTTTTCGGTTGTTTAACTTTAAAATCCTCCTGGTTGCAGCTACGTTGAGCATTGAACTTATCCAGAAGCATATCACCTAGTGATATGCTTCTGACTTTACAAGTAGAAGGCGTTCGATGTGGATTAAAAAGAAATCGAGCAACACCTACAGATCGAGAATCAAACTAGTGTCGTTTTGGGGAGCAAGCATCCGTGATACTTTTAAGGTATCATGGTAGGTGGATTTTTACGAAAAATGCGAAAAATCTTTTTCTGGCTGTTCAAATTGAGAAGACTGAGATAAATATTTTGCAAAAAGAATGAGGGGAAAGGCTTTTTTACTTTTTAAGATAAAGAAAAAAACTATTTTTGAATATCATGAACCCCTTGCGGCGCGTTGACACCTCTAATTAAAATTCACCGCCAGTTGTCACATGTAATGCGAATAGGCCCTTTGCATGACCCGGTCACATGGCACGGAATAAATTATGCTAGGACGCAAGTTTCACAGTGGGACTTCTAAAACAAAGGAAAGTCGGGCTGGACTGGTACGAGTTCCTTTGTTTCACGTAGGGGCCAAACCACCCCCCAAATGTTTCGTCAGTTCTTGGATATTTGACATTATTTCGCATTACTTAAAAAGTATTGACTCTTTCTACACCAAACTTGGCAGATGAGCAGGAGACCTAATGCCAATTATATTTACGTGAAAAATGTCAGTAAATGTCAAAGTTGTGACGTCACAGTGATGACGTCTTGTTTTTTGCCACTTTTGAAGTTTTCAATATGCATATTTTTTACGTGTTCGAAAGAGCACATCAAGGGGAGCTGAAACCTGAAATAATTTTGTCCATATCACAAAAATTAAATGAAATATGG